TTTTCTAAATGGTGTAATAGTATAAAGGAATATTGGCAATTATTTTGTACTAGTAAAAATAGTACACTTAAAAAATAATAATTTGTACTATTAGAAATAAAAGGAATATACACGGATCACGCAAATATAAAAACAGCATAATATGAAATCTATGCATCGTTAATGTGTGTTAGTTTAAGTAATTATACTATATTATACATTCAAAAGATTTATTTTTAATGTTTTTTGGCAATGAAATTCTGGAAAATTGTATGAAGACTATGTATTATATGATTTTTTTAATAATTTTGACAATATTCCATTATTTAATGTAAAATAAAAATAGATTAATAGATTTGATATACAATCAATTGATTATATTAATGTTAATAATTGTTTATTCATCACCATTGTAAAAAAATAAAATTGTCAAATACATGAAAATACGTGTGTTTTTTATTAAAAACCTACATACACACATTTCTCTACTCCAACTTTACACCTCCTTTCAGCACATGCGTGGTCACATGAGAATTGATGAAAATCGCGAGATGGCGGGCGAGTAACGCAAAATAATTGGGACTACTGGTAGGGATAGAGATAGCAGATAGAACAGGAGAGAGTGAGTAAAATGGAAGTTCCATCTGATTGTTGTACTAAGTAATGCTGTTTTGAAGATTTTACTTATGATCCTGACATATAAATGTCACGCGAATCATAATTGTAAATAAAAAAATGTTTGTAAACGAGCTTTGTCAAGTAAAATTTTTATAACGGATAAAATAATCGACCTTTGGAAATTACGACGCAATATAATCTGAATATAAACTAACCTCTTGACATCAAGCCACCTCAAAACACGAAGGAATTTTCTACAGCACGAAAAAGTTTACTTCTGAAAAATGTATGTAATATTCAATCATTGTAAAAGTATTTTAAATATATCTTTAGTTGTACCTTAAGAATACTTAACAATTATAATACCCTACTGAAAAAAATCATGTCACTTTACATGATGAAATCGTGTAATTAAAACATGTAAATCACGTAACGGATTGTTCCAGGTGAGTATGTGATTTTTTACAATCACGTAATTTGAAAAATCACATGATATTAGAAATAATTTCCATCCATTATGTGATTTTATAGTTATTGAATTTTGAAGAATTTAATAATAGAAATAGAAGAAAAAAGAATATATCGTATGATTTTCCAAATTAAGCAATTAAAAAAAAATTATGTAGTGATTTGGAACAATCCGTTATTTGATTTATGTGTTTTAATTATATGATTATGCAACTGTGTGACCTGATTTTTTTCAGTTGAGTATACAGGATACACTTAATATTACCTTAGAATATATATCTTAGAATACATAATAATTTATGTTGCAATCTTTGAATAATGTAAATCTTTGATGTAGAAGCTTATCTTTGATAAAAAAAATCAGTGACATAAAGAAACCATGTCAAAACGTAAATTTGACGATATGGAAAATGCTGATAAACAACCACTTAAGAATTCATTGGACTCCGATGAAGATGACGACGAAGTAAATGAAGATACCTATAATATTATGAATGAAGATGAATTTGAAGGTATCTCGAATTGGATATGTAATATTATATAGATAAATCAATATATTACGTTTATTATTGTATTATTATTTTTTATTTGTAAATTCTTATTTTGTACAAGTTGATATATATGGAATAGCTTAATTACACCTATCTAACAGGTACAGAAGATGGACCCTCGGCACCAGAAGCAAATGTAGGATTTACAGCATTTAATATGAAAGAAGAGTTGGAAGAAGGTCATTTTGATAAAGATGGCCATTACCTTTGGAAGAAAGAGAAGCAAGTTAGGGATAACTGGCTGGACAATATTGATTGGGTTCAGGTAAACAAATATAACATAAAATCTGCTTTTGAGAATTAACTAATATATAAAAATACAAAAAATTCTGCTTTTTTACAAATTTTGTATTATTCCAAGAATTATATTATATTCTGGAATTTCAAAGTATTTATCATTTCTTAATAATTCAATGAATTTTAAGTGTTCGATAAATATTACACATGTTTTTTTGAACAGGTTAAACCTGGTTCCACCGCTAATGTACAAAAAAGTACCAAGTCCAGCAAAAGTCATGGATTGGGAGATAGCGATAGTGACGATGAGGGAGATATTATGTTTGATCCTATTCCGTTGTATAAACAAATTTTAGAATATCTTAAACCTGGTGAAACTGTTTCAAAGACATTATGCAGACTTGGTAAACGCAATAGAGCATATGTTCAAATTATTACAAATAATAATGTTAATTGTCCCAATCCAGGTAAAGGGAAAAAGAAATTGACTACAGCTGAAAGGTGGAAAAAGAAAAAGGAATCTAAAACAGGTAAAGAAGAGGAAGATCCAAATTCTATTAACATAATAAAGTTAACAGAGCTGGCAAATGAATTATTAACACGCACTGGTAATATGAACATATATCAAGAAAGTTATGAACAAATAAAAAAGAAGGTAAAAACTTAACATTTATGTATAGTATATATTATCTTAACCCTTAGTATACACGATGATATTCCTTTGCTCTCACACGGTGGATCATTGATGTCCCCGGTTAATTTTCTCTCTCATCACTTTCATAAATATATAAAAATTATTAAATGATTCTTATATATCCCTTATCTTTAGAACATATTTATAATATTTTAAATACATAATTTAGTTATGTATTTAAAAAAAGTAACAGCTAGAGACTATTATTTAGCTAAGTGCTCCTAATATTTCAAAGAAAAGAAATGCGCAGGACACAAATGATTCAGTTGTGTTTGTATTAAGGTTTAATTATAAGAAATTATATTTTATATTTAGATTGAACAAGCAGATAAACATGCACACCCTTCGAAACAAGAAGCAGAGCTAGATATGTATGCTGATGATTTTGATGAAAAGGAGAAGGCAAAACTAGATGACACTGATAATGGTAATATAACTTATTAATGACAAACATTTTTATGATACATTGTTACTTTTTGTTCTTGTATAGACATTTTTTTATGTATCATATCCATACATTATATATATTGTACTATACAGGAAAGACAGCGGAAACAAGCAATGCAGAAGAAAATACGTCTCTAGAAGAAGATGTAACGTGGGATTTGAAATGGTCACAAGATGAAAATGCAGAGATACATGGACCTCATACTAGTCAGCAAATGCATGTGTGGGCAAAAGAGGGTTATTTCAAAAAGGGTGCTTGGGTCAGAAGAACCGGACAACAAAATCAATTTTATAATGCCGCTAGAGTAGATTTTGAACTTTATCTGTGACATTTTTGTCTAATACAAAAATGTGAATAAATAAATATAAAAATTGTCTGAATATCAAATTATGCGAAACTTTTATGAAAATTATATGTACTATAATATAACATGTAAAATTTTTACACAAAAAAAATAGATTATTATAAAAAACCTATATAAAATCTATATAAAAAAAGGAATTACAATGTAAGAACACAATGCATTAATAAGTAGTTCAAATTATACATTTCAATAATTTTAATAAAATAATTTATTTTAATTTACTACACTTTTTGAAATTTTATATTTATATTTGCTTACAAGGAGAGACCTAAAATTCTATGAAGAAAACAAATTATTCCAGAGTTATTAAATTTATATATATAAACAATTTTTTTTTAATTGATAAATATAACATATATATATAGATACACGCAAATATTAATTTCCAATTTATAAATAATTTATATTTATTTAATAAATCATGACGATCGTGGCGTAGGCCGTAGAGAGTTATGTGGCTGCTGTTTGTGCCAAACCGGTTCAAATCCATCCAGAACACACATCAGATTTTATTTAATCATCATCTCGAAAGGCAAACCGCTGAGGGTATCTTTACCATAATAACCTCTTCTAATAGGCTGTTCAGTGTTAAAAACTGTAGGTTCCATATGTCAGTTAATATATGCAGAAAAACTCGTCACGTCTCAGACAAGAGACAACTTAAGAGAAAAAGATTAATTAGTAAGTGAATTAATAATGTATTGAATAAAAAAATGAGATATTAAAAAATTCTATATTTATATACTCTAAAATTACAAATTGATTTATAAATAAGTAATCATTTTGCGTAATTTTAGGAAAATCTTAATTTCAAAATACACACAATCTATCATATTTAAAAATGATAATTTCACTTCTTTGTAAAATGCAATGTCTAAAATGATATTTAACCAACTATTATTTTTTTAAATTATACGTTACTATACAAATGTTTTCGTCGTAAGTTATTAAAAACCATCTGTGGTACTTAAATAAAGATATAACTTAACTCATATACTTCAGAGACTTCTTGCGCATTCCTACGGGAGTGAGGTCGTTGAAATTTATGATCCTCGGAGCTTGGTATTTTTAAATAGGATTTTATATCCCTAAAATAAATCTATTTGTACCGTACAGTATAGCCATACATCTTTATTTATCTAGCAGAGCGAAACTCTCTTTTCCTTGATTCTTATATTTATTTTGTACGTTCCAGATGGGAAACGCTTCTCTTTGGAGCAAAAAGTAAAGTGTCTTGCCAGAAATAAAAAGAATAGGATAAGACTGACTAAACTTTTGTATTTATTTATTATATATATGAAAATAAATAACTCACCCTTTTTTATCTGTTATGTAGGCACATCTAAAATGTAGATGCAATATATATATAGTTGCTCAATTTTACATGGAGTAAACGAAAGGAGGGAGTTACATGTATTTTGGCTAACACACAGACCATGAGGATTGTGCAAGAAAACTATAAACTATAAGAAGAAAAGAGGAGTATAAGATAGAAAGTAAAAAAGTATGACTAAATAATAGAAGACAAGCGATATTGCATCAGTATAATAATGAATTACAAATTGAAACTATAAGCTTTTGTTGCGTGTGTAGATAATTGGCACGTTTTTTTTTTTACTGAATATAATTTTATTAAACGTTTTAAACATTTTTCTTAGCAATGTACGAAATTTTGTATATGTAATTACTTAAAATATTATTTTAAGTATTTCGTGTTGACGCAAAAATTGTTCAAACACGAATATCTGAGAGTACACGTGTGCATGCATATATATACGTATAGATTTGTATATGTTGTACACACAGGGGAACTGTTCCCAATTTTGCGTCACTGCTCCACCGAGACTCTTTGATTAATCTCGTGTTGATTTTTTCCCAATGAAAATTACATTAAATACCATTCACGTCCATAATTTTTCAACGTTTAATAATAAACAACTTGCTGTAATATAGCACTTTTAATTAAAGTTTTATTCAAGTAAAGTTCACTTGAAATTTACTGGAGAGCGAGATTTTAACACGTACTACGTGACTGCAGTTCAGTTTCGAAGAGACTCTTTAATTTTTAATTGTTCGCGACATAATATCTACGTGTTATTTAACGTTTCTCGATATTTTTATTAAAAAGAAATTGACTTTTAATTGATTTTAAATTTCGATCTCGAAAGAATCTCGCTGTGTGAAGTGTACTTGGGGACACCCTGTGTACGCGCGTACATTTTCGTAAGTATAAATCCGTAGCTCATCTTGAAAGATCAGAAGAATTTCAAGCGCGAAGTGTTAAACATAGAAGTCCAAAGTGTCTAGACTAGATTACAGTAAGAACTATAAATCGACACTTTTTCTTGGTAGCTACACGAGTCGATCTCTTTATCGGGAGAGTGGGTCTAAATATGACTACGTTACTAAAAAGTGCGGTGATACACATGCAATGTACAATGTACCGTCGCTCATTAAAACGCAATGTTTATCGTGCATCCAACAAGTTCATTAACAATTACATGCTTCTCTCGTAATCGAGATAGAAAATATTCATTAAACTAGATCGCTTATGTGGATAACATAAGTAGAGAAGCGCCAAATACGGTCGAGGCTGGAAAATATTCGTCTTCTTCAAATTCACATTTAACGATAAACGAGAACTTCTTGTTCAATACCTTTTCTCAAACTAAACCATGCTGTTCGCTGTATTGGTAAACAACATTAAATAATTCAAACATAAACAGAATGGCTTGCATAAAATAATTATTTCATTATTAGGAACCTTCCAATCAGCGATAGATTATTACAAACGAAATGACGCGTTCGCGTGCAATTAGAGTAATAAATTTCTCATTATAAATGATACTACAAATGAGATCTTTAAACTTTCAAAATCGTTTTTGTACTATTGAAAAAAATAAATGTACGAAAGTAATGTATGAAAATAATATTGTATATATATATATATATAATGGTAATTTTAATATAAATATAACGTTAACAATAAATATATTGTTTCATTTAACGGCAAAAGAAACCATTTTCCGCTTTTATTAAAATTAAGTATGTTATCTCACACAAAAAAAAACAAAGCGCTTGCGTAAGAAACACGTTGAATTATTCCCAGCTCCAGATTTTTAACATAAATAAACTACAATACAAAAGTAATCGTGATTTCTGGCTTTTCTTTTTTTTTTTTTCAGTTTTTCATCTCTTCAATCGGCACATCGATCAACGTTCTGCCGAGAACGCAAGTTAACTCAGATTTGCTATGGAGATACGAGGGTGCACGAAGCAAAGTGGTGAAAAGGTACATTGCATTACATCCACGCGACGAGAAAACGGTACTTTGGTCTTCTTTTTTTTTTCAAGCTTGAAAGGACGCAAGGCAACTGGAGAACACGGGGGAAAGTTCGGACGAGGGTGGAGACAGGGTAAGAACGACACATACGAGCAATACGAATCACGTGCCGGTCTCATAACGCGGACGAGGTGTTTCCTCGTGCGAACTATTTTCCGTCGGCTTATCTTTATTGCAGCGACTCACCTAATCGCCTTTATTCTTGGCCTCTCGAACGACCCGAGTTCCTCCGAGTTCGAGTCGCCGGAAATATTTCGGGAATACGATGGTATTGCCGTTATGAAACCGGCGCCGTGGAACACACACACGCATATCTCGCACGCACGTACGGGGAACAAGTAAAACGGGCACTCGCATATGGACGTTTACGCACGTGAGGGTACGTCGTGATTTATCGGCGCTGGAACGGCGTTCGAACACTTTTTTTACTTAGCAGGAAACTTTTCCGTAGGCTCACTTCTATATAAATCACGAAGGTGATAATAATAAGGTCGTTATAATAAATCGAACGCGCAGTGCGCACGGTGATTTATCGGACAGACAATATTGGAACCGTTTCTTATTAATATCTTAACAAGCTGATACACCTGTTACCGTACCTTTAATTTACATGGAAATAAACTCGAGTGGGATATTTCCTCTACGGAGCGAAGAAAAAAAGTTGTTCTCGACCGTTCTGACGCCAGCAACTGTATGCATCCGACATGTTACACAGGCTGTATGTATGTACATACAAAAATAGCCACCGTGCAGTAGCGGCACGCCTCAAACGCATCGAAGTCTCCGAAGTGCGGTTTCGAGGGGGGGGGGGGGTGAAAAGGGGGATACTCGCGGCTGAGAAGAGGAAGCGGAGGAAGCGAGGAAGGACGCTTGCCGAGGCCTTTATCCCTCTTAGGGTAACTCTGGTCCCGCTAACCCCTCTCGGAATGAAGCGCCTCTCCGCCTCCCTCGTCTTCCTCTTGGTCGGTCTCGAGACGAGATGCACGTAGCATGACTAACTACCATGACTAACGAGTCGGGCGAAGTGCCACCGAGGAATCTTGGCTAACCGAGTGAAAGAGAGATAGATAGATAGATAGATAGATAGATAGATAGAGAGAGAGAGAGAGAGAGAGAGAGGGAGGGAGAGAAAATACTTTCGGATCGAATATTTCATGCCTCGCTCAAGGGGTGGTCTTCTCTCTCGAATCCTCGAGAATTCTTGAATTATCTCTATATGTCAGATGAATGAATAAATGAATAGGCGTTGGATGTGATTAAAGGCGCAATCAACGTGCAAGGGCGGTAGATGTTAAAAATAATGATGGTGAAGTCACGTTACTCGAGCTGCTTATTATAGACTAAAGGTTCTATATATGTATAATTACTATATGTATATAGGCTCATTTATACGTATAATTACTCGCGCCTTGGAGTTCTCAGATCTTACATTTCCGACGATTTTCATTATTGTACTTGCTCGAAGAGCAGCCTAGCCTCTTCAGTTTATTCGGGGAAGTTGGAGATTTTATCTGCGGTGATTACTTAGAGAGACCGTAGTTTATAATCGTGACGAAGCGAGTCTCAGGATTTCTGTACGAAACAAACGTAAATGGAAATACCGATGGAAAGGATCTTAGTCGTAGCTTGAGCGGCCTAGATGTATCGTAGATACCTGCTCACGATTTACGCTTAATCGCGCGAT